CGGCTCCGCGAACCTCGCGGCCTTCAGCGCCGACCTCGTGTCCTTGCCCGACGACGTCTCGGGGTCTCCCCCGATCGAGTCGCCGCTGGATGCCGACGTTTCTCGATACTTGGCCTATCATGAGCTGGTTCTGCGACCCTTGACTGAGAGAGAGGACATCGAGTCCGAAGCACGAGAGGTCACACCTTATATGGACAGGAAGCTGCTGCACAACGAAGGCGCATCACGCCTTCGTGAAGAAGCTCTGGGACCTCGGCATGCTCGATGCGACGCTCGAGCCGCGGGAGAAGGTCGGGGCGTTCTTCGTCTGGAGCGCCTCCGGCTGATCATAGACGCTCGGAGGAGCAACTACTGGTTCCGCACCCCGCCGGGCGTCAGGCTGCGCACGTCGGAGGCCTTCGCGAGCATCGAGATCGGCGACGGCGACCTGGCGAGCTCGGAGGGCCTCAGACTGCACCTGGGCATGGCGGACGCGGAAGGTTTCTTCCGCAGGCTGAAGGCCCCCGCCCGGCTCAGGCCCTTCTTCGCTTGGCCTGAGGTGTCCGCGCGGGTGGTGGGGCTGAGCGAGCTGGGCGGCGCGCGGCTCAGGCCCGCCGACGCGGCGCGGCCCACCTCGGCCCCCATGTGCACGGGGGTTGCGTGGTCGCTGTTCTTCGCCCAGAAGGCCGACGAGCGGCTCGCGGCTGCCACGCCCTGCCTGCGCGGGTCCGAGATCTTGCGCGACCGGTCACCTCCCTTAGTGCTGTCTGAGGGCCGCCCTCGACACTGCGCGCGCGTAGACAACCCGGGCGCCTTTGCCCGCGACCAGAGCGTCGCCGAGCGCGCGGTCCGGGAGTGGGGGGCGGACTTTGAGAGCCACGGGCTGGAGCTGCGCGGCGGCGATGCGCGGGGCAAGGACATCCGCGCCCTCGGCCGTCGGCTTGACAGCCGCCGGCTGCGGGCGGCCACCGCCCTTGAGCGATTTCTGGAAGTCTGGGCCGCGATCGAGGAAATACTTCGGCGACGCAAGTTTTCAGGTTGGGCCCTCGAATGCTGGCTCGGTCACGCTACCTTCATGAGTCTTATCCAGAGAGGCCTCCTCTCCGTCTTTCGTACCTGTTATCGATTCTGTCGCACCCACTACACCGAGGTCGCGGTTCTCTGGCCCTCGGTTCGCGACGAGATCCGAGCCTGGAAGGGGCCGATGATCTTCTTGGTCCAGGACTGGGGGCGATGTTGGAGTGAGCTAGTGACCAGGAGCGACGCGAGTGAGCAGGGGCACGGAGTGCGCGCGTGTTTTTGGAGTTGTGCGCAAGTGTCGTCGGTTGGCCGCGTTCGGGGAAGAACCAGGTTTCGGCTCGCGGGCCACAGCGCCTGTGAGTTTGCTCTCAGCGCGGCAGGTCCGGCCCGAGACCCTTGGCGCGGCGCCTGGGAAATTCCAGGGGGCGAGACTGCCGACTTTCCTGCGGCGCTCGATTTTCCCATGGTTCCAGCAGGTCTTCACGGCAACAGCTTTTGGACCCCTCGTGTCTGGGGCGAGTGGAGCTTTCCCGAGGACACCCTGGTTCTTGAGGCTCGAGCCTTGGGTATTGGAGTCCGTGGTTTCGTTTTGAATTCCCCTGGGTGTCACTGTAGGGCTCTTCATGCTAAGCGACAACATGAGCATTGTTGCGGTTCTCGCGAGGTCCCGCTCACGCGAATTCCGTCTGCTCGTTCATATCCGTCGGGCCGTGGCCTACAGCCTGGCGCGCAATGTAGTTTTTTGTTTTAGGCGGGTTCCAAGTGAATTGAATTCGGCGGGCGAACCTTCGCGTCGACGCGACCCCGATTTTTCAGAAGAGGGCGATTGCGTGCTGCTCTCGCCCCGCTCCCCCGTGCCCCACTCGGCTGAAGCCTGATTTCTTGGATGCCTCCCACTCAGGCCGCTCGCCGGACTCGAGCCATGGCTCGGCAGACATCTCTCGATGGTCCGAGTCAGAAGCGACGGCGAGGGCTGGGGCCTCCCTTGGACAGGGGGGGCCGGGAGCGCGGCCCGCGAGGCGACTGTGCTTGGGCAGACCGCGAGGGCGCTGGCCCGCACGAGCGACGCGGCGACCCAGCCGCGGCCTGCGGGTCAGGATTTGCTGGAGCGCGCCCCACCAGATGGCCAGGCGCCGCGGGGGCCGGCCAGCGCCAGCTCGAGCGGCAGCTCCTCGTCCGAGCCCATGCCCGACGCCGTCGGCGGAAGGGCGCGGGGGCTTGCGAGGAGGTCGCGGCGGCGGCTGGCCAAGTACCTGGAGGTGGCGCCGGCCATCGAGAAGGAGGGGCTCAGCCTGCTGGAGGCCAAGGCGGCGTCGGACAACTTGCGGCGCTACTACTCGAGCCACCTCCTGGACTTCGAACGGTTCGCCAGGGTGCTCGACCCAGCGCTCGCTGGCGACGGCGGCGCGGGCGATTGGCTCTTCGTCGCGAGCGGTGGACGCCATTACTACTACGGGGAGTAGGTGCTGGCTTTTTTTGCGGACCGCCACCCGGACTTCAACAGGGCCAGGAAGCGGAGGGTGCCCCGGGCCTGGCGTTACCTGCGCGGGCGGCGCCGCCTGGTGCCTGGCCGCTCGAGGCGACCCCTGCCTCAGGCGGACCCTCAGACGAGGGGCGTCGCCGCCGTGTCAGGGGCCATGGGCGACAGCGTGGTGCTGGACTGCAAGTGGAAGCAGCGGTCGACGCCTCTCTGGTCGGCGTTGGCGGGGCCCCCTCGCGGGGCGCCGATCTGGACCTCCGCGCGCCCAGAGCCGGCAACTCAGTTCAAGGAGACGCGCCGCCGACTCGGGGCCCCCGCGGTGCGCTACATGATGAGGCACATCGGCCCCAGCATCGCCAGGGCCCTGCAGGTTCGTCCACTCGACGACGCGCGCAATAGGGGGCGCTGGGCGAGCCACAAGTCGGTGGTGCGGTACGAGAAGGCGGCACGGCTAAGCAGGGCGCGGCACGACCTCCCGATGGGCCAGCCAGCCGCGCTGCGAGGCGCTCGACGTGCGCCTCGAGGAGCTGCTGCAGCTGCATTGCGCAGACCGCGCTGCCAGCGGCACGGGGCGCCGTTGAGAGGCCAGCATCTCGGAGATATGTTCGCTGGCGAGGGCGGCGTTGCTCGCGCCAGCCGCCGCCCGGGCATTCCCGCTCGGGCCCGGGAGGTCCAGGGCGGCCCGTCTGGCGATCTGACGCGCCCGCCCGTGCTCCGTCGCATTCGCCAGGGCGCCAGCGCGGGCAGCTCTTTGCCAAACTTTCTCCGTGGCGATAAGGGCCCCTGAGTTCCCGTGGGGGGTGCCCTGGTGTAGCCTTCGTGATGCTGTAAAGTTGCAAGCAGGGAGTGCCTGCCTCGTCTCGCGCCTCAACCTTATAAGATATCTGCATGCTAGAAACATACCTTGAATTTTAGCGAACCCGAACTCGTCTGATATGTGGCTGGTTCCGCAGGTGCACGCACCAATGTCGTTGGCAAGAGTCGAATCTGTAGTGTGCGACTTCTGCCAGTTCGGGACCCCTTTGAGAAAGCGCACCCGATTTATATGCGGCTGGATCCCAAATGCAGACCTGCTCGGCCTTCAGCGCGTTTGCACAGGCAAGCGCGGCTTTTGCAGCGCAGGCAAGTGTAGACACCACCAGCCAGGAGGATCCGCAATGACACGCAGAGCCCAGCCTTACCCGAAAGAGCTGTGCCAGTCGTTAGCCCACTCCTTGTTGCATAAGGTACGGAATGCTCAGAACAACTTTTCCCGACCTTGCTCTCGCACCCCGCCATCTTTCGGCGTGGCCTGCCCCAGCTTCCCTTCCTTTATTCGAGAACTTCCCTTCTTCGGGCGTCTGCGGGACTTTAAGGCTTGGTCCAGGGGTGCTGGCCCAGTCCCATTGGCGGCCGGGTCGCTGCCGCCAAGACGCGCGCGGCTTCTACGAGACGTATCTTGCCCGCTGAAGAAAAGGAAACTCCAGTGATAACGGGGTGCGTGCACATACCTATTTTTGGGGGTTCGTGAAAGATCGACGTGCTTTAAACGAGGTTCGTCCGCAATTCTCTCTCTCTCTCTCTCTCTCTCTCTCTCTCTCTCTCTCTCTCTCTCTCTCTCTCTCTCTTCAAGTCTGCTGCTTCGCCCCCCCCCCCCCCCCCCCGCACACACACACACACACACACACACACACTCCAGGACTTTTTTAGGTTCGGTCCAGGGGTGCTGGCCCAGTCCCGCTGGCGGCCGGGTCGCTGCCGCTAAGACGCGCGTGGTTTCTACGAGACGTATCTTACCCACTGAAAAAAAGGAAGCCCTAGTGATAGGAGAAGAGGGAAAATGGGCGGGGGGAGAAGGGGGGAAAAGGGTAGGGTGCATCGGAAGGGACAGGACGATGATGATGATGATGATGATGATGATGATGATGATGATGTGATTGTGATGGTGCTGGTACTGATGGTCATGCTGATGATGGTGGTGTGACTGTACATACTGATGCTAGTGATGATGACGGTGATGAAGATGGTGATGATGAGGCTGATGTTGATAGTGATGATGATGGCGATGGCGATGATGATGCTGGTGATGATGATGATGATGGCGGCGATGCGGATGAGGATTATGATGATGACGTTGATGACGAGGATGATGAGGATGAGGATGAGGAAGCAAAGGATGGTCTGAGATTCCCTGGAGGTGTACCCGAGGACCCCTCTGGAGCCCGCATGGCCCTGACCCTCTCTTACCAGTACCTCGTCTACTTCCCCCTCTGAGTGCACCTGCCTCTGCCCCCTCGCTTGCTGCCCGCTGCCCGTCTCGGCCCGCAAGGCCGGCCTTTAGAGCTTGTTGTGCTGGGCGCCTGGCGCCCCCGCAGATAGCTCGTGGCCCGCGCGGGGCCGTGGATGAGATAAACAGGCTTATCATCAGCATCTACCATGCGCTTTCAGACTGGCATTGCGGGGCTGGTGGTTCCGAGATTGTGGACGTGGCCGAACGTTCATCAGGACCAACGTAGAGCCCAAGAATAGCAAGAGCAGCGAGATGAACGATCAAGGAGCTGGACGGTCGTACTACCGTGATGATGAGATAGTTGTGAATAGAGATGAGCTGCCTCACTACACCGGCCAGAATCCTGACTTGCTCAAGGAGTATAAGAAGAGAGTCACCCTGGCGCTGGCGCGAATGGAAGGTAGTGGAGATGACGAAGAAGCAATCGCGCAAAGCCTCGAGAAGAAGAAACGCAGATTCAGGGTGAAGTTGCTCGACGGACTACATGGACGAGCATGGCGACGAGCAGAGCACCTCGCACAGGAGACCGCAGAAGTACGTGCGGACGGCGGCGAGAGACGGATCTTCGAGGCGCTGGCGACGCTCGACAAGGAGGCCATCGTCAAGAAGGGCATGGCGTTCGATAGTTTCTTCAAGCGGAGCTTCCGGAAGCGAGGCACTGATGTGGGCGAGTACCTCTCGAACAAAGAGAAGCTGTGGGAGGACTTGCAGGAGCGCGACGAGAACACCACGCTTTCGGACGATTTGATGGCATACTTTCTGCTGGACGGCGCGAACCTCACGGACGAGCAGAAGCGCAACATCGTTCTCAACAGCAACTCGGAGTACAACCTGGAGATGTTCCAGCATACGTTGAGGGTCAACTTCCACGACCTGCACGAGAAAGAGAGACGGAGTGCGCCGGCCAACACACACAAGCAGAAGTGGCAGAACCGGCGCGGAGGCAAGGCGAATCAGGTCGAGGACAACAACAGCGGCGACGAGGACGACATTACGGATGAGGAGTTCGAAGAGGGCGCCAACGCGGCAGATGGTGACCATGAGTTTGCGAGCGACGCCGGAGCCAGCAACGACGACGACGTGTTCGAGGCCTACAGCGCCTACGACGCGGCAAGGAAGAAGCTGAAGGACACGCAGAAGCAGCGCGGGTTCTTCAAGGGCGAGGTGACCTTCGAGGAGCGTCAGGAGCAGATCAAGGAGGAAAAGAAGCGCACGCGCTGCGGAGCGTGCGGTCGCATCGGACACTGGGCAGGAGATGCCGCGTGCCCGAAGACAGGTAAGCAAGGCGACAAGAAGTTCGGTGGAGGACGAGGCGGAGGCCGCGGGAGCGGCAAGCCCAAGGCTAAGCCTGGGCGCGGAGGCAAGTCGTACTTCACGCTCGACGGCACCACAGACGATGATGAACTGATGGAAGAGGCGACCTCCTTCATGGCGCGCGGCGACGACGTCTCGTGCGACCCCGACGGGACGGTCGAGGGGCAGGACTCGTTCTACACGGACTCGGAGGAGGAGATGGACAACGAGCGCGAGGACGACAGCCACCACAGCAGGGACTACGACAAGGACAGGAAGAAGTCGGCAGGAGCGGCAAGCAGAGGAGAGGCGGCCCCAAGGCCGTCGGCAGCACCGAAGGACATCCCGACCACGCCAGATTTCAGGGCCTGGAAGCAGTACGAGCTCAAGAGTCACCTCAGCGAGCTCGGGCTCCAGACCAACGGCAAGAAGGTGATCCTGATCGAGAGGCTCGAGGGACACTACTCGGGCAAGGCGCAGGTCAAGAAGGGGCGCAGTGTTTCGAGGACCGCAGCAGCGTTCTCGGACGGGACTTCGACGAGAGCACCGGGCGAGAACATCAAGTGCGCGGACTGCGGCAAGTACGGACATCATGGAGGAGACAAGCTTTGCCCGCTCTACGCCGAGATGAAGGCCTACCAGCAGGCGAAGCAGCGCCATGGTCTGGAGAAGGTCGCAGAGGTCCCGCTGACCAAGCCGAACATCTTGAAGCAGCAGACGGAGATTGGCGCCAAGTCACTGGGCGCAAGGCCAAAGGCAGCAGCTACGTCATCAAGAGCGTCCACATCCTGGGAGTTTGTGAACGACGACAACACGTTCATCGAGCAGCTGACCTGTCCGAAGTGCCGCCGCCAGGGCATGCAAGTGAAGAGCAACAACCTGGACGGCAACAAGTTCTACGGATGCCTGAACTTCAACACCATCATGCGGTGCAAGGGCACGATCAACTGGACGACTGGTCAGCAGATGCTACGCGACGGCGGTCCTTCGGGCCGTTCGTTTCGACGCTAAGCAAGGGCAAGACCGTGGAAGGGGGCTCGACGTCCCTCAGTCAAGGACGCATAAGCCGTCTTGAGGAGCCTCTTATTCGGTCAAGGACGTGGGCAGCCATTTTGGCATCGCCCGACGAGCTCGCCGCCGCGCAGCTCGACCCGCAGAGCCTCGCCCCGTTCAATGCCGGGGGCCAGGTTAGCGGTAGCAGGCTGGGACACTCACAGTTCGCCTTCGCCGTGGGGCGCACTGACTGCAGCACAATTAATTACGACGTGGTGGCCCTCGTGGACACCGCCTGTACCATTTGTATGCACAGCAAGAGCTGGAGGGAGAGGTTTGAGAAGCACTTACCCCCCGACCTTACCTGCAGGAAGACGGACATCCAGCGGAAGTTCACCTTCGCGAACGGCTCCAAGCAGCAGGGTGACGTCTACGTGATCCCGATTGGCATTGGAGGATTCAGAGGAGAGGCGCATTCGACCGAGATCCCGACAGGGACGACTCCACTGTTGATCTCCATACCTGCCCTGGACATGCTAGACGGCCACATTCACACGAAGTCAAAGAAATTGGAGCTTTCGGCATTGGGAATCACAGTGCCTCTGATCAAGATGAAGAATACGACACACCTGGGTATCGATGTATCGCAGTTTGGAGATGACCAGGATTCGGTACTTCAGCGCATGGAGCTCAAGTCATCCCGGGGCGACGCGATCGTGCACCTTGCGACGTGCATGAACGTGGTCAGGGGTGGCTATGCCTATCTGGAGAATGACGATTGCGACGATGAGGAGACTTGCGACACTGTCAAGATAGATGCAATCCGTCGCCAGGACGCGAGCTCGAACGAAGAGACTGGCCAGAAGTTGGAGATACCCCTGACAGCGAGAGGTGTGCGCAAGTCAGATACGAGAGGCGAGCTCACCAATCGAAGAGCACAGGAGTTGTCAACTACAGCTTCAAGGATAGCGGCTGAGGAGAAGCGGACTTGGGCTACGCTCAAGAAGGAGTACACGCTCGCAGAGAGGATGGCCACATCAGGGTTCAAGAAGACGATGATATTCGAGCCCTGGGGCGGCAGCTTTATCGTTACCCGAGTGGCATCAGGAGTTTTTGGTTGGACGAACTCGCAACCGTTGGATAAGTTAGACGACTACGACCTGATGACCAAGGAAGGCGAGGACTTGCTCTTCGAGATCCTCGACGAGCACGACCCGTACCTCACGATCACCGCCTTCGACTGCCGCATATGGTCAGTTATGACGAACATGAGCCCGACGGTGGATTGGGAGACTCTGCGAAGGACTTACGGAGTTCGAGTGTTCAAGTTGGTGAAGCGCATCTGCTTACACCGTTACGAAAGGCAACGATATTTTCTAGCAGAACAGCCATGGTCAGCAGCTTCCTGGAAGTACAAGAACATCTTGGCCGATATCTACGGGCTGCCGAATGTCTGGTTCGCCTGCGGAGCTCAGTGTGGTTTCGGCAAGAAGGACATCGACAGCGGCAAGCCCATCCAGAAGCTGACCGGCTACCTCACGAACAGCCAGTGCGTTCTCAACAAGCTGGCTATCCCCTGTAAGTGCAAGACTGCTCACGAGATGGTGGAGGGCAACAACTCCGCCGGGAAGAGAGCAGCTCAGGCAGCGGCCTACCCTCCGAGGATGGCGACGGCGATCTGCGAAGGAGTGAAGCAGCAGATGGAGATCGACAGCGCCGCCGCACTCGCCAACGGGCACATGGAGTCGAGCTTTCCTGTGGACGACGGGGTGGTCACCGAGCCGCCTTCCAAGAAGGCTCGACGAGGAGCAAAGCTACTCGGAGGGACAGGCGGACTCAGACGGAGAGTTGCACGCAAGGGCGGCTGGCTCAGCATGGCCAAGGAGAAAGTCGACAAGGTGATGGAGATTTTCGGTAGTTTCGTCGGCTTCCTCACGCCCCTCACCTTGCTGTGGCCTTCGGTGGACAAGAGGGCCGCCGAGATTGCCAAGCTTGGGGAGGCGTCCGCCAGCGTGAAGCTGATTATGGTGCGACGGAATCCACGTTCTCTGCTCGCAGCGGTGCCTCACTTGCATGCTTCTCAGGCACCTCTGCGCACTGCCTACGCTCGGTCCGAGCGTGGCGTGTGGTCCGAGCTCGGCTGGGAGGATTGGACCAACTTGTCACCGCAGCAGCGGGTGATGAAGATCGCCGGGGCCGACCTACTCATCATGGTGTACGGCGCGCAGATCGGCGAGGCAGAGGACGGCGAGCAAGATAAGGAGACTATGAGGAAGCAACGATGGGATCAGCTACCACGGGACCTGAAGGTGGCGATCCGACGCTTGCACGAGAACCTGGGTCACGCGCCGAAGATCGAGATGCTAAGGGCCTTGAGGATTTCGAGAGCCTCGGAGGCCGCGATCAAGGCGTGCAGGCTTTTCTCCTGCGAGCACTGTGAACGCACGAGGCGACCGCTGCTGGCAAAGCCGAGCAAGTTGCCGAGCGTCGACGAGTTCAACGTTGTCGTGGGCTTCGACACCTTCGCCGAGAAGGGCGCAGACCAAGCAGAGTGGCAGTTTCTGAATATCGTGTGCTTGGGATGCTCGTTTCAGGTGGTTGCTTTACTCGGCGAAGTTCACAAGATGACGGGCTCGACCACGGTGCTGGAGACTTACGAGTTGTGCTGGGCATCTTGGGCTGGTGAGCCTGAGGTTGGAGTCATCGTCGACAGGGCCAAGGGCTTCCTGGGTAGTTTTTCTGAGCATATGTCGAGTCGTGGGTGCAGATTCGATTCGGCCGCCAAGGCGGCAGCATGGCATATCGCCAAGGTCGAGCGTCATGGAGATCTCTGGCAAGCCATGTGGAGGAGAGTCGTCTGGGCGAAGCAGGTCGCTGGACGCGAGGACGTCCTGAAGGCCGCGATGGAGATCAACCAGGCGAAGAACTCGCTGAGCAGGAGGTCTGGATTCTCACCGGCGCAGCGGGTGCTGGGAAGAGATATTCGCCTGCCGGCGGACCTCATGGACGACGGTGAGGTTGAGAGGATCGGTGCCATTGCGGCATCGGCTACCCCGACATCGAAGTTTGCCAGGAAGTGCGCGCTGCGACAGGCGGCGCGGGAGGCCCACGCGAAGATCGCGAACGAGGACGCGATCAAGAGGGCTGAGCTTCGACAAGTTCGGCCAGAACGCGGACCTTTCAACGTGGGCGACTGGGTTTTCTACTACGACCAGAAGGAGCAGGGCAAGCGGCACGAGAGCGTTATCAACTGGAGAGGAGTCGCACGCGTGATAGGTCACGAGGGCAAGCACACGATCTGGATCGTGCACCGCGGGATCACGATCGCCTGCGCTCCTGAGCACCTTGCCAGGGCGTCCGACGAGGAGGTCCGAGCCTGGCTGGTGACGGCGCAGGAGGCAGACTTGATAGACACCACCGGGACGGCTGGAGGCAGTGGATTTATCGATCTACGACGACGGCCTTTTCCCCCAGAGTTTCGGGAAGATGGAGGACCAGTTCGACCAGAACCAGCGGCGGCTCAGCCACCGCCAGAGGCACCGCCCCCAGAGGTGCCGCAGCCGGCAGAGCGTGAAGCACCTGCCGAGCCACTGGTCCAAGAAGAGGAGCCGCCCACGGAGGAGGTAACGGAGGACCCCTACCAGGAGGAACCCCCGATGATGCAGCAGGGGCCACCGCCGCCAGTCGAGCCACGAGGAGCGACACAAGCGGAGGACCCGATGGAGGACGCGGTGAAGGACTTTGTCAACGAGGCTGTACGATCCAACCAAGTACCGATGGGCGACGAGTGGGATCCTGATCTTGATGATTTCCATACTCCTGCAGCATCGTTCCCGCCTCGCCCGGCGGAAGGATCTGCCAGTAGAGATAAGGAGAGTCGGCCAGCGGAGGAAGCTGCAGAGCGGGAGGCGAAGAGACAGAAGTTGCTGGATGACGTCCCCGAGTCGATCAAGACGGACGACGCCTTTCAGGTCTACAAGGATATGGACTCTATGATCGACGAGGCCTACCTGGCATATGACGTCAACCAGTCCTTCTACGCCGAGCACGAGGTCAGCAAGGAGGTTTTCGTTTTTGGCGTCGAGCGTAACGAGTTCGAGTACTCCTATGAGGCTGGCTCGACAGTGGCGAAGAAGGGGAGAAAAGAGTTACACTTGAAGGAGCTCGACGAGGCAAAGCGACAGCTATTTATCGGACCTGGAGGTTCGGATGAGAAGGAGTGGAATGCCTGGCAAGATCTGGATGCCTGCGACACGCTGAGCCTCGGCGAAAGTGGGCAGATCTGGGAGACCAAGCGCGACCTGATCATACCGGCCAAGTGGGTGAGAACCAACAAGAGTGAGGGCGTTCTGGACGCCGAGTTCGAGGCGAAGTCGAGGATGGTGGTCCAGGGCTTCAAGGACAAGAGCCTCGGCGAGTATCGGAGAGATGCGCCAGCAGCATCGAAGTTGGCGGAGGCAATGGTGCTGCTCGTGATCGTCAGTATGGTTATGGTGATGAGCTGCGGAGACATCAAGAACGCCTATTTCTCAGGTCGAGGTATAGGACGCGAGATCTACATCAGCCAGCCGCGTGGAGGTTTAAAGGGACTGCATCCGAGACAACTGTTGAAGGCCAAGAAGGCGATATATGGGTTTGCTGAGGCTGCTCGTTTATTTTGGTTGGCTTTCTGCGAAGTATTGGAGAAGGATGGATGGGCTCAGTCTGTTTTGGAACCAGCTTTGTTTTACCTACGCGACAGAGCAGGCGCTCTGATTGGTATTCTATGCACTCACGTGGATGATTTGTTGGCAGGAGTTTTAAAGAAATACGAAGATACGGCCTTCAGATGCACGAGACAGAAGCTGAATTTCTCGAATTGGCTCAAAGAGGATTGCGTTTTCAGAGGACGTGAGATACAACGTTTACTGAACGGCGATGTTGGAGTAACGATGAAGGGCTACTCGCTGAACATGAAGACGGTTCCGATCCCTCGAGAACGGAAGAAGGAGCTGACGAGCCCGCTGACCGACGACGAAGTGACACGGCTACGGAGGGCTACGGGAGAGATATCTTGGTTGTCGAGGCAGCTTCGAGCAGATCTAGCCTTCCAAGCGGGACAAGCTCAACGAACCGTGGTAGCGCCGTTCATCGCCGACCTGGCGAAGGTCAACAGGGCCATCAACGGCGGCAAGAGAGGCGCCGACTACATGCAGAAGTTTCCGAAGGGTATCGACCTCAGTCGAGCTACGGTCTTGATTGAATGTGATTCAGGACACGCGAACGGCAACCCCGAGAGTGACGAGATCGCGAGATGCAAGAGCATCGGTGGTCATTTTCTCTTCATAGTGGACCACGACGTGTTGTCGGGGAAGCTGGTGACCGCAGCTATGATGGATTACAGTTCTAAGTCGACGCAGAGAGTTTGCCGGAGCACACTTGCAGCTGAAGCCTCACATCTTGCAGATTCACTGGAGGCTGGCGAATGGCTGTATGTTTTACATGAGGAGGTGTTCAATCTGAAGATCGATTTGAAGGATTGGCAGAAGATCGTGGCGAGAAGAAGCAGAGTTTTCTTGACTGATGCCAAGTCGGTGCATGATTACTTGACGAAAGAAGGATCAGGCCTTAGCCGAGACAAGCGGATGGCAATAGAAGGAGCGTTATTGAAGGAGGCTTTGAGGCAACCAAACACGACACTACGTTGGGTGGATGGACTACAGAATCTGGCGGATATTCTCACGAAAGAGGGAGTTGATCTGGACTATTTCCGACATTACTTGAGGACGAATCAGATTACGATCCAGCAGGATCAGGCTGCAGCGAAGATAAAGGAGAAGAAGAGATCACAGAGGGCCGCACGGAAGTCAGTTGCTAAACCCGATCGAGCTGAAGCTGGTCGACTACGACGTGAACGTTCGGCCGTAGGAGTTCGAGAAGAAGACTTGCAGGATGACTGAGATGGTCAGAGCTACACAAGAAAATAATGAGTCTGAGATTCCCTGGAGGTGTACCCGAGGACCCCTCTGGAGCCCGCCTAGCCCTGACCCTCTCTTACCAGTACCTCGTCTACTTCCCCCTCTGAGTGCACCTGCCTCTGCCCCCTCGCTCGCTGCCCGCTGCCCGTCTCGGCCCGCAAGGCCGGCCTTTAGAGCTTGCTGTACTGGGCGCCTGGCGCCCCCGCACATAGCTCGTGGCCCGCGCGGGGCCGTGGATGAGATAAACAGGTGTATCATCAGCATCTACCATACGCTTTCAGAGATGGATATGGTGATGGGGACGATGATGAGGACGAGGGTGATGATGCTGATGATGAGGATGACGCGATGGTGAGAATGCGGATGGTGATGGTGGTGATGATGTTGTTGTTGATGATTGTGATGCTGGTGATGATGCCGACGCAGATTTTGATGATGATCATGCTGATGATGATGTCGATGATGATGATGGTGATTGGGAGTAGGAGGAGGAACAGGAGGAGGAGGAGGAGGAGGAGGAGGAGGAGGAGAAGGCGGAAGATAATTGAGGGGGAGCACGCAGGAAGAGGGAGGATGGAGGAGGGAAAAGAGGAAGAGGGAGCCAGACATCCGACCAGCCCGCGGGCCCCAGAAGTCCCGACCCTTTCCTTCGGGGAGAGCTTGCTATCCTTGGCCAGTGTCTGATGTCCGGCACCCAGAATCGGGACGTGGAGGCTGAGAAATGAACGGCCAGACTCCTTGAGATACGAGTTGCGGAAAGATGCAACATCGCAGAACATCACGCCCTAGAGCCCTAGACCGTATTTTTCTACTGCATTGCTCGAGCCGGTCGATCTGCGATGGTCCTTGGGCCCAAAACCCGGCGAAAACGCCCAGTGTAAAGAATATTGAAAAGGCCAATATGAGGGCTTGCAAAACCAATCAATCGGATTTCTCGGGGGTGGGGGGAGCGCGGCCCGAGGTTCTGTTCCGCGATGACGCGGTCGCGGAGCAAGGACGTCCTCGACTCGCTGGGCAGCAGCCCGTGGTCCCGGGGCGGGGTGCTCATCACGGAGAACAATCCCCCCGACGGTGCGCGGGCGTTGCTATTCTTGTCCCTTCCTCTCCAATCCCCCCTCCTCTCGCTCCCTCGAAGAAGGGGTGAGCCCATTGCTCTTCCTGTCCCTACCTCTCCAATCCCCCCTCCTCCCACTCCCTCGAAGAAGGGGGGAGCCCAATGGGCCCCAACGGCCGCCAAAGAACGGCTCCAGATGAGACGCCGGTCCCAGGGAATGGATCGACCTCCAGGGATCGACGCCGCGGAAAAGATATCGCTGTCGGAGCTTTCGGCTTTGCGGTAAGATCTGAGTGTTTCCCATGTTTTGCCGTTCTGTTCTTCCTGGAGGCAGGCCTCCGAGAATTTCCCGAAGAGCCTAGCGATTGGGCCTCCGGGGAGGGAATTCATCGTGCCAGGCCTCAGGACTTGCAGCGGTTGCAAAAATTGCTTCTGATGTGTAATCTAGTCGAGCTGACACGCGAGATACGTTTCGCTCCGTTCCTCATCTTTGTCTACCCTCCTCCTTATTCCCCCCTCCCTCATCCCCCTCCTTCCTTCTCATGTGCCCTCCCTCATCCTCGTCCTCCCCTCCGTTCCTTCTTTCCTCCTCCTCACTGCCCGCTCGCCCAGCCGCCCGCTTGCCTGCCCGCACCATCGCCCCCTCGGGCGCGGGGAGAGGAGGCGAAGAGGCCCATGGGATCGGGTCGGGGGGCGCCGGGAAGAACAGCTGCATGTGGTTGGTCCGCCATCCTCGCGCGATGTGCGACCCCCATCCTTCTTCGTCCGCCCCAAGTGGAGGAGGTGGACAGGCAGGAGGAGCACCGAACCACAAAAAAAGGCGCGAACAGACACTTATGAAGGTCCGCGTGGGTTTCGTTGGTCGGCGCTGGACGCCACCTGGTGCGCGACTTCGCTGGTATCGGCCTGCAGACCCTAGGACTCTGTCCCGAAGATCACTGGCGAATGCTCGCTTCAGCAAATGCTCGCACGCAAGGCAGGCTTCATTGAGTGCCGGGGATGCCTCCCAAAGAGGGCTTGGACCACTACTCTGTGATTTTCCGGTGCGCAGCCCCGGCGGCTCCCGACCCCTTCCCTGGGGGACGCTTGTCATCCTGAGTAACCTCGGGATGCAATTATCGACCCTCTCCCTTTTCGGCGAAACTATATCGCTTCTGGTCCAGCGGAAGTGATAACCCGCCCCCCGACCTCTCAGCCTCCCAGTGCTCTTTAGGATTCCTGAGGATTCTAATCGGATTCCAATAGAGGGCCCAATCGGATTCCAATAGGATCCCAATAGAGTTTCAAGTGCATTCCATCAGGATTCCGAAGGGTCCCAAAAGGATTCAAATGACATCCCAATCAGATTCCGATAAGAGTCTAATGTGGGGTTCAATAGGATTTCAGTAGGATTCGTATCAGGTCCCAATCGGATTCCAATAGGATGCCAATCGGATTCCAATGAGATCCCAATCCGATCCCAACCGGATACCAATAAGATCCCCATGGGATTCCAAAGAGATCCCAACCAGATTTTCAATAGGATTCCAATTGAATTCCAATAGAAATCCAATCATATTTCAAGCATATTCCACTAGGACTGCTAACACACTTCTAATCATATCCAAATCAGATTCCAACAGGATCCCTCATTCCAATAGGATCCCAAGCAGATCCCAAGAGGATTCCAATCAGATCCCAACCGGACTTCTCAGGATCCCAATCGGATCCAATCAGGATTGCAAAGGATTTCTTATAATACTTGCTGCCCCCCTCCCCGCGGGAATCCTGTTCTCTGAGTTCTGGTTCTGCATTCGGTGCGGGGGTGGTGGTATTTCTTGGCGTGCCCTACTTCTCAGAGCAGCAGGAAATAGCACTTGATTGACACGTGGTCTCATGGGAAATGCACATATCTGCAGACTATATCTTCTTTCTCTCGTACTTTCTTTCTCTGTGCCCTCTCTCTCTCATTATCTCTTTCAGTCTCTGTCTCTCCCTCTCTCTCTCTCTCTACGGTTTCCTATCGCTTTCCTGCAGGATCCCAAGAGGATCCCAATGTCTAAAAGGATTCCAATAGGGTTCCGCCGCCAAAATATGTTCCTTGGGTTCCAAGAGGATCCAAATTGGGTCCCAGTAAGGTTCGAACAGGATCCCAATAAGGTGCACATAAGAGTCGAATCGAATTCCAAATGAATCCCAATCGCAACCCAGCAGGAACCCAATAGGATCCAAATGAGATCCCAATCGGATCTCAATCGTTTACCGTCGTCGTCTTTGTCCTCGTCGTCGACTACGACAGGTCCCACTCAGCACGCCTTCCCGCCCCTGGGCATCCCCAGCGCGTCGTCGTCGTCGCCGACTACGGTGGGCCCACGCAGCAGACGCACATACTTTGTAGTTAGCGGCGCAGAGGGTCATCAGGCGCGAGCAGCAGTTGGAAGTGCTAATTGCGACCGAGCATTGTCGATAGCGCAGCGTACAAGCATCGCACATTGCAACATACAACACACACGCACACACACACACACACACACTTTGGCGTCGGGGCCCTGCGCGCGGCGACAGGACGGAGAAAGTCGTATAACAGCAAACGCGCGTGCGTGACTCCGAAAATTGCGGAGCAGAAAAAAACAGCGCTCTGCGCGCGATTCGAGTCGCCAGGAGGCTCCGGGGAGGAGAGGAAGAGGCGTAAAGTCTGAGGCTGAAGCGCTAGTTACAGGTCATCTGTCCACAATTTTCGGCGTCTGGGGGCCTTTTCCAGGCCTTCCCTCACGCAGCTCGTCTCGCGTTGCCGCCCTTGCTTTTCCTCGCTTCACGGCTCGGTGCCGATTGCTGCGCATTTCCCCGTGCACTCGGCGATTCGACGGCCGTCGTCGTGTTTTCCTCCGTCTCACGCTGCGGCGCAGCTTTGCTGCGATGACTTGCAGTGATTTTTCACAAAAACAACCGCGCCTGCGCGACTAGGAACGCCCAAGCCCTCAGAGACCGCTTAGGATCCCTCAGCGGCCAGTTGCCGGAAGCCATCCAGGCGTCGATGACAAAGGGAGCGGTGGAATGACGAAATTACGGTGAGGTGGGAGGTGCCATAAGCCATCGGGGACTCAATGGCAGGGGGAGTGAGTAATGAGCGAGGAGCGACAAGGAGACCAAGACCGACCCGGAAGCCCAACGGGGCGAGGGGGCACAGCCAGCGGTGCGCGGATGTCGAGGCCGGCCAAGGCCAGCAGAAGGGCACAGGAAGCGGAGGAGCAAGGAGGCCGCGAAAGCTTGGAGACACACACGCACACACATACACGCATATGTATATGTCTATGTCTATGTCTATGTCTATGTATATATATATATATATATATCCCCGTGCAAGAGGCCGGGGCGCCCGGGACCGCGACCTCGACGGGGCATGGGGGTTCCGGGGCCCCCGTGCACGAGGCCGGGGCGCCCTGGACCGCGACCTCGACGGGGCATGGGGGTTCCGGGGCCCCCGTGCACGAGACCGGGGCGCCCGGGACCGCGACCTCGGGTGCGCAGGGGGGTTCCGGGGCTCTTGGGGCGCTCCCGGGACGTTCCTGGAGGCGCCAGACCGCCCCAGAGAGGCCCAGGACGCTCCCAGAAGTGTCCGGGGAGCCTCAAAAAGCCTCCCCAGGAAAGTTTCGATAGCCCCAACGTGGCCAAAAAATGTGCCCAAGACGGCAAACAGACCGCCCTATAGACTTTGAAACGGCCACAACCGAGCTCCGAGAGGCTCCACGATGGCCTCACGAGGCCAAAATCGTTGATTTTCATTGTTTTTTACATGTTTTTTACTTCCTTGCTTTCCAGCTTTCCGACGCTCCAAGACGGCTTTGGAGGCTCCCACGGGAGCCCGAAGATGGCCCAACTGGACCCCGATGGAGCCTCATGACGACCCAAGAGAGCCTCTAGACGGCGCAGGAGGCCCCCCCGCGGGCCCCGAGACGGCTCAAAAGGCTCCCAAGACGGGGAGATCCGAATGGACTTTTTGGGCCGTTGGCCTTAAGAAGCTCCCAGGAGCCCCAAGAGGCGCCCAGGAGGCCCCCAAGCAGCCCCAGAGGCCTCCAAGAACCCCCCCAGAGAGCTTCGAGAGGCGTTCCGAGATGGCCTCACGAGGCCAAAATCGTTGATTTTCATTCGTTGTCACGATGTTGTTTTGCTTTCTCGCTTTTCCAGCTTTCCGACGCTCCAAGACGGCCCTGGAGGCCCCCAAGGGAGCCCCAAGACAGCCCAAGAGGACCCCAAGGGAGCCCCATGACGGCCCAAGAGAGCCCCAAGACAGCCCAAGAGGCCCCCAACACTGCCCAAGAGGCAGCCAAGACGGGGAGGACCCGAATGGACTGTGCGGGCTCCGCCCCCAAGAAGCCCCCAAGAGCCCCAAGAGGCGCCCAGGAGGCCCCCAAGCAGCCCCACAGGCCTCCAAGAACCCCCCCAGAGAACTCCGAGAGGCGATCCGAGATGGCCTCACGAGGCCAAAATCGTTGATTAGCATTTGTTTTTACCTAACAGCGAAGACTGATAGGTTTCTAGTTGACTCAAAAGAGCTCACAGATCACTCCACAGGGGGGTCCGGGCAGGTGTTGGGGAGTTGCCGGGCGGCAGGGTGCCGGGCTCGTTTTTCACCAACAGTCACACACTTCGTGCTCTTCGACTTCCCAGAACTCCATTCCCAGGCCACATTCTGAATACCCGGATGCAACAGTCACACACTTCGTGCTCTTCGAGATCCCAGAACGCCATTCCCGGGCCACATTTAGAATAACCGGATGCAACAGTCACACACTTCGTGCTCTTCGACATCCCAGAACTCCATTCCCGGGCCACATTTTGGAGGCCCGGAGCCAACTGTAGGCCACTTCGTGCTCTTCGAGTTCCCAGAACTCCATTCCCGGGCCACATTTTGAATGCCCGGAGCCAACTGTAGGCCACTTCGTGCTCTTCTATTTCCCAGAACTCCATTCCCGGGCCACATTTTGGATGCCCGGAGCCAACTGTAGGCCACTTCGTGCTCTTCGATTCCCAGAACTCC